AGGGTTGCTGCCTGCGCGCTCACCTGCCTGTGTCAGACCCAGACCCACCTGCCCTCATTGATGGGTGGTGTTTGATTTCTGCATTTCTGTTTTCAGAGCTGCATGTGTGTCCTCATGTCCCTTTGTATGCCTGCACTGCCCTGCTGCTTCCAGATCCTGACCTCCCACAGGTCAGAGGGGACTTTGTACATCTTTCTGTGAAGCCTGCACTGGGGACTGATCCTAGTGACTGAGGGTTTATGTAGAGTATTAATACCAAAAAAAAAAACCTCACTGCCATCAAGTTGATTTCGACTCATAGCGACCCCTTGGGTTTACCAGATGGTAAATCTTTATGGAAGTTGATCGCCCCATCTCCCTTCTGTGGAGCAGCTAGTAGGTTTGAACTACCAACCTTATGGTTACCAGTCAAATGCCTTAGGCACTGTGCCACCAGAGCTCCTTAGAGTATTAATAGCTGATAAAAATGCTGTTCTGTTAAATACTTTCAGCCATAAGTAAACCAGGAGAAGCCCTGTTCATTTTTAAGTGCTTGCTGTGTCTGTCCCAAGGAGAAGAGTTTCACCAGTTTGCTGGGCAGGAGGGCCCAGGCCCATGTCCCCTCCTCCACATGTACTCTTGGAGGCGTTTGTGTGAATGAATTAGAAATTGTTGCAGCTGCCTTTTGCGAGGAGGCCGGTCTGCCTTTCCTGTGGCCATTTGGCTCCATTTGATCCTCGGCTGGGTAATAAATGGAACCTCTGTGCCGGGTGTGCTGTGCTATCGCAGTAATCACATGCCTCCAGGGCTCGGTGTCAGCTTCGCGGGCCTTTCAGAGAGATGAATGAGAGAAAGCTCCACTGTGTCGCTTGCTCAGCCTGAGCCCTCAAAGAGCCTCACAGCTATACAATCCCCTCTTGTGCCCCCAGGGAGCATAGCCCAGGCCCTGGGGCAGGGTCCAGGGATGGCTGTGGAACCTTCAATGCCTTGCCTACTCTTCTGGTCTATTTATCTGCCCACTTCTTAAGGGCATGCTTCCCAGTCTTCCTACCAGGTTCTGTTTGCAAAAGGGGCTGTCTCACTGTCCCTGTATCAAGAGTGTGGCTGCTGTTTGCTGTGTCAGAAAGATCACAGGGTTCAGTAAAAGTAGCTTTTTTTATTGTTCTTGTGATTTGGGTGAAAATTTACAGAGCAAATTCACTTTCCATGCAGCAGTTCACATACACTTTGTCTCATGACATTGACCACAATTTACCACAATGCAATAGCTCCCCTCCCATTTCCTCCCAATAGTTACCTCTTCCCTGTGTCCATCCCTCCATGCACTCCTGCCCCTGAGCTGTCTTCCTGTGCATAAGCAGCCCTTCTTTCTCCCATGATTGTTCTCTCCAAGGAGTGTATCTACTTCAGGTAAATGTTAAACTCCTACGCCTGTCTTTTGTTTGGCTGGAAGCCACAGGCGTGGGTTCAATTCCAGACCTGAAGGGCAGCTAGGGGCCGTAGTCTCAGTGGTTCCACCAGGCTCTATTGGACTAGCAAACCTGTTCCCCCCCTCTTTTTTTTTTCTCCAAATGATTTTGAGTTTTGTTCCACATTGTTCTTCCTCTCTATCCAGGATCTCCTGCGTAGATCCCTTTCCAAGTGGTTGACATTGGTAACCGGGCACCATCTAGTTCTTCTGGTCTCATAGTTGTATAGGCTGCAGATCAGATGGTGTACCAGTTGCTAGGACTAATTGTTTCCAATGATTTTTGGTTTTCTTCATTCTTCTTTGCTTTTGATGAGGAGAGACCCATCGTTGCATCTAGATGGCAGCTTAAAGGTAGCTTTTTCTTAACCCTTTGAATTAAGTCACTTAATTTGGTTAAGGAGTGCTGGTGGTGCAGTACCTAAGTTATTTGAATGCTAACCAGAAGGCTGGTGGCTCAAACCCATCAGTCATTCTGAGGAAGGAAGATGGGGCAATCTACTTCCATAAAAATTTACCACCTCATAAACACAATGAGGGTTACTATGAGTTGGAATGAACTCAGTGGCAGTGGGTTTGGTTTAATTTGGTTATTTCCATCCTCTCAACTTCTCAACCACTAAATTTAAAGCAAAAACGGTTTAGCACTGACTGCTAGTGGAAAGGTTGGTGGTTCAAACCCCACCCCCCAGCGATGCCTTGGAAGACAGCCCTAGGGCTCTGCTTCTGGAAGCTCACAGCCTTGAATACCATGTGGAGTGGTTCTGCTCTGCACACATGGAGTCACCATGAGTCAGAATCAACTTGATGACAATGAAGAACAACATCACTATTGTCAGGCAGGCTGTGTTGTGCAGATTTAGTGCTTGGCTGCTAGCTGAAAGGTTGGAGGTTCAAGCCCTTCCAGGGGCACCTCAGAAGAAAGGCCTGGCAATTTGCTTCCAAATAAGCAGTCATTGAGAACCCTATGACAACTCCACTCTGACATACTTGAGGTCGTGTCAAATAGGGTCAGTAGAGACACTTTTTATTAATCCTTGGACAGAACAAAGACAAAAACAAAGACAGTCATCCTGGATGAGGGAAACCATCAGCATGAGAAAGCTTAATGAAGTCTGCTGAGTTATGGCCATGGGGCTAATTATATAGGATTTAAAAAAAAAAAAACCAGAAGGCTGGCAGTTCAAACCCACCAGCCACTCCTTGGAAGGAAGGTTGGGCAATCTACTTCCATAGTGATACTGTCTCGGAAACCCAAGGAGGACTTGCTATGAGTTGGATCCGACTTGAGGGCAGTGGGTTGGTTGTTGGTTGGGTTATGCCACCAGAGATACACACAGAGATCTGGAAATCCTTAGTGTTTTGGTTACTTCGTGCTGTTCGAACAGAAGATACCACAAATGGGTGGCTTTAACACACAGGAGTTTTAGTCTCTTACAGTTTTAGAGGCTAAGAAGTCCAAGGTCAAAATGTCAAGCTCTAGGGGCTGGGTAAAAGCCCGTTGACCTTGGGTTTCAGCTCTGCCTCTTGCTCCCGGCCCACTGAAGCTAGAGGCGTCTCTTCACTCAGGCAGCTGCTGGCTGCTGAGTGACAAACTCAAGGTCAACAGGTAAAAAGACAGTCCTCATACTACCAAACCATATGGCAGGCCATTGATTCAAGTCCATTAAGAGTCCAAGATTGGCAGACAACATGGCTGCTGAACAATGACTTGGCTACATGCAGGATTTGAGCATGCCAAAAAGCTCCAAAGACCTTTCTCAAAACTGTCTTCTTATATACTAGAAGCAGGAGACATTTCCTAAGGCAGCTACTCAGCTTCTCCAATAGCTTCCACCATGGAGTTGATGACCAGTCTCATCATGGGGACTTACTACATCCAGTTGCCCAGCCACTCAGCACCAGGCCCAGCCAAGTTGACCCACAACTTAACTACCACAATCACTTAACTACCACACTTAGCATCTTTGGCTGGGACTTGATGAGCTAGCTGTCCTAAGGAGTCTGAAAAGTGAGCAGGGGTGGAGGCAGCTTTGGAGCCCTGGGAAGCACCTCATTTAAAGTGTGGGCAGGAGAAGAACCTGCAAAGACAACCAAGATGAGAGAATGAGGGAGCTGCCTTTTAACTGTTGCTCTCAGTCTGTATTTTTAGCACTTATGAGCCCTGCAATGCTGAAAAGATCCTAAATCCCAGCACATCTTGCTTTATACTAGGGTGGAGTTCATTTGAGACTGGCATGCTGGCAGTTCTTGTATTTCTGATTTTAAAAAGGCCATTTTTATAAGAATGCAATAATAAGCAGGAGACAGAGGATTCAATGAAGGTATTGATGGATTATTAATTTATTAGGATACAGGTAACATCCTCTCTTTTAGTGGGTTGAGAGAGAACATGTCAGGGGACTCTGAATCTGAGTCACGTGTGGATTGCTTGGCCCCTCCTGGATGGTGTCCTTTCCCATTTCTTCTAGAAGTTATTTTAAAAGGGGTGTTTCTTTTACTTATTAGGTAAATGTAATATTTTACCAATTATTACTCAGACATAGAGGAAAAACAATTTAAAAATCTATTTTGGCATCAATTTACTGTGGTATGTTAAGAGCTTTGCTACTAACCAGAAAGTTCAATAAAGGCCTGGTGATCTACTTCTGAAAAATCAGCCGTCAAAAACCCTGTGGAGCACGGTTCTTCTGTGACACACATGAGGTCGCCATGAGTGGGAATCAACTCAAAGGCACAGGTTTTACTGTGGTACGTTTGAGGTGAGGCTAATTAGGTTCTGCCAAGCACTGTTTTCCTTGGACATTAGGTACTTCTCTGTGGGGAAAATCAAGAATTATTCTAAGTAAAACAAGAAAAACAGAGCTCCAAAGTAAATCCTTGACTACACAAGCTTTCCATTTCTTCAGTGAAGGACATCTTCTTATCTCACATCCATGTCTTGGTGTCAAGGCTGCTAAGATATTTAATGCTGTGTGGTTTCTGGTGCTAGTGGATTACAGGTGTGGAAGTAGATGTTTGAGACACACATGGAGAAATTACAGAAAAGTCAAGTTTTGGTAAGATATTGTCACTGATGTTTTTACAGGGACACATTACAATGGCAGAAACCTGTAGTTACTAAGAGTAGAAAGAACTGGTGTTAGAATTGGGGTGGGGGATGGGCAGGAGTCTGTGAAGTTAAAAAACAAATGGTAGAAGAGAATTCCTCTAATGGGGAGAAAGTTGGAGATCCCAGGTCTGGAGGTTGTCCAGAAACTTTTGGGGGTGGTAACCTGAACCTCCATATTTCAATCTCATCTGTTGGTTATGATTTTTTGTTACTTAAACAAAACCACAAATTTTTTTTCTCATTTTCTCTGTCCTACGTGAATTAATTTAGTTCTCAAGTTTCTTTTCAGTGGTTGCTAAATCTAAAGACGCCATTACTTTCTAAAAATGAATCCTCCTACCCAACCACCCAAGCTCATTGAGCAAAGACTGCCAGTACAACACCTCAAACCTTCAGTGCTATCTTCTTGACCTCCCTCCTTTTCTCTCTCCTATTTATAAGGTAAATCCACCCTACTACATCCCATTGGTGGAACTAATTCCGCACCCGGAAACGGACCCTTCAACCATGGACAGAACACACGCCCTAATGAAGAAGATTGGGCAATCTCCGGTCAGAATTCTGAAGGAAGTCGATGGCTTCGCCCTGAACCGTCTCCAGTACGCCATCATCGCTGAGGCCTGGAGGCTTGTGGACGTATGTGAACTCCTCGTCTTCCTGTCTGGCAGTCTGAGTGAAGGAATAGAACAAGTCAAATAGTACTCAGTGTGTCTAGCTCCATTCAGGACCCTAATGACAGACTTTCCTCTCAGGTTCAGTCAAAAGAGAAACGAAAGAAAATTTAACAGAGTAGTTCATTTTATGTTTCAGGAATTCTGCTCACAGTATGTCTTTGGATCTTAAGACATGATGACAGACTTCTCTTTTTCATACCTTTTCATATCATTAGTGCATAATTATCTATTTGTGACTTACTGCATTTTCCCACAGTCTCAGGTACCACCCCCCTCACCCCTACCTTTTCACCCCCATCCTCCTGTTATAACTTTTCAAGAGAAGAAATGATTATATTTTGAATAAAGTAAGTGTGTATCCCCTGAAGGAACCCAACTTATTTTAAGAACATGAGGAAGAAATAATACATGAAATGAATAAATATCAAACTTGTTAGTAATATGCCTTTCTTATATAAAAGTAGGAAATATATACAGATAGTCCCTGATTTGTGACAGACTCCATCATAAGCTGGTTCTGATGTTAGTCAAAGACGCTTTTTTTTTTTTTTTTAAGTTTTCATTATTATTGCTTTTTATTATCAATATCTTTATAAATCCAGTTTGTGTTTGGGGATTGAAATGAGAATGATAATCTCAGCAAATTACATGCTGCAACATTATATGCAGTCCATATTACTAACAATAAGATGTGCCCCAAAAAACTGATGGTTGTAAGCGCATAGTTCGTCATAACTAGAATACCTAAGTGTGGTTTGTCGAGTCTAGAATATGTCATAAGTCAGGGACTACCTATATATACACATATTTAACCTCATCCTTTAATTAAAAGATTTTACACATGAGTTAAGAAATTACTTAGTTCTGTCCATCATGTTTCTATTTGTACCAGGAGGACGAAGGTACCTACAGGGTGCACTTCAGAGCATGTCAAGGGTAGAGTGGGCAGGAGAGTAACTGGGGTCAGACACTTTGGGCTTGTGTTCACTCACCGTCTGACTCCCCAACGTCTGCATGGGGAAGGCAGCTCCTTTGCCCACACCCGTTCTGCAAAAACATGGTGGCAGGAGTGCAGCTTTGTAGGTTCACAAGGGAGGAGAATGGTGTTCATGCTTGAACTGTCTGGGCCTGGAATCAGTCCATGGTTCCTTGCCATGACTTGCGTGGCTGCATACCAATCCCATCCCTAAAACGAGAACCAGGAAGCTGGCCTAGATCTAGCTTCCTTGAGTGTTGTGTTTTCACTTCCCAGCAGTCACTGAAGAGCCAGGTAAATGTGCATGTGGTACGTGACCCTCCCAATTCCTGGTTCTGGCATTGGTTCAGCTCCTTATTAGGTTAATCTTTTGCCTTCACTGCCATGAACATTTGCCACACAACATCCTCTGTGGCACATCCCCACTATGTCCTCAAACTTAAATCAGCAAAATGCTGTTGTATCTTCAAGATATGATACTGGTGTTTCCATTGTTAAGTTTGCAGTTTAGATTCTTAAAAATTGTAGTGTTTTTGCCTGTCAACAGTCAGGTAACACAGGTAGGAAATACTGAACTAGCAGCACCCCCTCAGAGACTAATGTAGTATTTCCATTTGTCTAGAGGAGGGGAAAAAGGAGCTCAGGTGGCTTGGTGCCTAAGGCATTTGATTGCTGTCCAGAAGGTTGGTGGTTTAAACCCACTAGCTGCTCCATGGAAGGAAAATGGGGCAATCGACTTCATAAAGATTTACTGCCTCAGAAACCCAATTGGTATGAGTCAGAATTGACTCGATGGCAGTGGGTTTAATTTTTTTGTTGTTTAGAGGAGGGGAGAAGGAAGAAGACTGGGCAAGCTACTTCTATCAAGATTTACTGCCTTGGTGGAACAAAACTCAAAATCATTTGGAGAAAAAAAAAGGCAGGGGGACCAGGTTTGCGGGTCCGATAGAGCCTGGTGGAACCACTGAGACTATGGCCCCTAGCTGCCCTTCAGGTCTGGAATTGAACCCACACCTGTGGTTTCCAGCCGAACAAGAGGCAGGCATATATGAGTTGAACATTTACCTGAGGTAGATACACTCCTTGGAGAGAACAATCATGGGAGAAAGAAGGGCTGCTTATGCACAAGGAGACAGCTCAGGGGGCAGGAGTGCATGGAGGGATGGACACAGGGAAGAGGTAACTATTGGGAGGAAGTGGAGGGGAGTTGTTGCATTGCATTGTGGTCAATTGTGGTCAATGTCATGAGACACAGTGTATGTGAATTGCTGTATGGAAAGTGAATTTGCTCTGTAAATTTTCACCCAAATCACAATTAAAAAAAAAAAAAGATTTACTGCCTTGGAAACCCAGTGGGGGTCACTATAAGTCAGAATTGACTCACAGAAGTTTTAGAGGAGGGGAACAATTTAAGAAGCCAAAAGAAAAATTCCATACTGCAGTTTTACTTTTTATTTGTAAGGTACTTTGAATTCCTAAAGACACAAATAAAACCCTTGAGTTAAGTGTTGCTTTCTTCAACCAGAAAGATGTGAGCCAGTGAATGGAAAAACTTCCCTTCCTTCTGGAGAGATTCTGTTGTAAGGGAATTAATTAGAGCTGTACACTCCTGTTTCTATTTGTACAAAGGACTACAGATGCACAAAGAATTCTCTCTGTTTTGACCACAAACCAGAACTTCTTGTAGTTTGGAAGATCTAAGCTGGGAAGAACCACCAGGAGGAGTAGCCCATTGTCTCCATGACTGGTTGGAGGTGGAGAGAAGGCTGGGGGAGGGGGTATGTTTAGTTTGGCCTTTCTGGACATTTCCTTGGCTCGTTTTGCCCAGCTTTCTTTAGTGAGATGTTAGTGGCAGCCCGAGTGTCAATACATCACTGGCTAGCAGGAACATCTTTACCCCTGACCTCCACACAGGGGTGAGATTCTTAGTTACCATGGTAACCCACACATCTAGAGCCTCCATCAGCAGCTTGACATCTGTCAAGATACAGCTTTAGAATGAGAGAAGCAAGCCACCAATCAAAATGTGAAGGCTAAGAAAGTGTGAATAGAACCCAAAGAATTGCCTTGCTGAAAGTCTAGAACTAAAGGTTTGAAGAAATTTCAAGTTCAGAGGCTTCCAGGAGCTTGCAAAGGTTCTCTTTCTGAGTGATGTATCTTCCCTGTGATCAGAAGCAACTGAGCACTTCAAAAAAACAAACAAACAAACAAACAAAAAAAAACACAGACCCACGGCCATCAAGTCTCTCAGGGCTCATAGTGACCCCCTTTGGGTTTCTGAGGCAGTAAATCTTTACAGAAGTAGATTGCCCAGTCTTCCTTCCGCTGAGTGGCTTGTAGATTTGAACCACCAACCTTCTGGTTAGCAGTGAAATGCCTTAGGCAATGCACCACCAGAGCTCCTTAACTGAATGCTTAGCAGCGTTAAATACAGTAAGAGGGTGACTTTCAGAGTCCTTCTCTTGGCAAGACCAGAGGGCGCTGCTCCTTCTCAGGGCTCACAGTGGTGGGGGGCTTCTGTTTCCTTCTGGATTCACAAAGCAAGTTGAAGTTTGGCATACACTTTAACCCAAGCTTGGGACTTTCATTGGTTAGAGTTGGTGTACTTTCAGGGTTGGAAAGGCAAAGGGGGCCCTATTAGAGGTCCTGAGAGACCCTATGTGGAGATGGGCTGGTGGGCCCCTCTCCTGAGTGCTCAGGATGCCAGGCACAACCCCTAAGGCAAGGTGTGAGCAGGAGTGGGGCCAGCAGTAGGACTGGTCAGTTATGACTTGCTGTTCTACCCCAGCCAGGACTGTGTCTTGATACTGGGATGGAATGAACAAGAGGAAGTTGCTTTCCCTCTCACTAACTCTGTGAATTAAGGAGCTCTTGTGGCACAGTGCCTAAGGCATTTGACTCCTAACTAGAAGGTTGGCAGTTCAAACCCACCAGCCGCTCCCCAGAAGGAAGATGGGGCAATCTACTTCTGTAAAGATTACTGCCTTGGAAACCCAATGGGGGTCACTATGAGTCGCAATTGACTCAATAGCAGTAGATTAACTCTGAATTACAGTCACCATAGCAGTCAATCAATATTTGAATGCTGGACCTGCCTTGCGTACTTGGAGTAAATCCCACTTGATTGTGATGTATGTAATTATTTTTAATCTATTGACACATTAAATTTGCTCCTATTTTGTTGATAACTTTTGCATCTAAATTCATGAGAGATATTGGTCTGTACTTTTCCTTTTCTTGTACTGTCTGTCTGATTTTGGTATCAGGGTAATATTAGCCTCATAAAATGACATAAAACATAAAAACATAAAAAGTGTTCCTCCCCATTCTGTTTTCTACAAATGATTGTGTAAATTTTTTGCTAATTCTGCTTTAAAACTTTGGTAGACATCTCCATTAATAGCGTGTGGGCCTAGAGAGTTTTTTTAATGGAAATTTTAAATTATGCATTTAATTTCTTCAATGGTTATGGGATTATTCAGGTTGTCTGCTTCATTGAGGTTGAGTTTTGGCAGATTGTGGTTTTCTAGAAATTTGTCCATTTCTTCTTCTTTTTTTTAATAATACAATTCAAGGAGAAATTTTTTTATTAAAGAAAATTTACATATGTATATATATATATATTTTAAACTAAGATTTGGGTAAAAGTTTACAGAGCAAATTCACTTTCCATTCAAGGGTTCATTGATTGCAATCCCTACAATGTAACAGCTCTCTTCCCACTTCCTTCCTCTGGTTACCTTTTCCCTGTCCTTTCCTATGCATTCCTGCCCTCTGAAATATCTCTCTGTGCAAATATTGCCCTTCTGATCTCCCATGATTGATTGTTCTAAGGAGTGTATCTACCTGGTGTGAATGTTCACCTTATATACCTCTGTTGTTTGGCTGGAAGCCATGGGAGTGAGTCCACTTCTAGGCCCGAAAGGTGATTAGGAGTCATAGTCTTGGGCGTTTCTACAGTCTCTATCAGAGCAGTAAGCCTGGTC